CCACACAATCAACCAAAGTTCATTCCATTAGCTTTTATTTCATTTCTGAGAGGTGATATCTTATAAGAAAAATGACATATTCACCATTTAATTATAGGAAAGTAAAGCTATTGGTTTCGTTACTACAGTTCATATATTATTTATTTATTTTTCTTTCTGTGTATAAATACAATAGGGTTTTGAAAAAAGGGGGTTTTTTGCATAAATTTCCTACCAAAAAATTGCATAAAAATGGATCACTAATGAAAGAAGTTCGAGAAGCTATGACCTATGATATTCAAAATATCTGCAATGTTTGTCCGTTCCAGTTTTAAAAATCTGATGAGTAAACACCATGCAGAATTTCTTCTCCAACGACATTTTTACTCAGAAAATTTTATGGAACATTCTTTTAAACCCAAAAATTCTCAACATGTTAAACAGTCTGTACATCTGACTGAGTATACACACTCTTCAGCCCTAACATCTTGATTTCATCTACTTTTCGTTCACTCTTAGATAAAACATTTAAGAGGCTTATAGTTCGATTTTATTTATTGAAATTCTCCACCAACGAAGAGATTCTCCGAGGATCATCGGTCATTGGACAAAGCGGAAGTTGTAGGACGAAAGCTTTTCTGGTACTCTCCCCATCCTTGAAACTGTTTGGCATCAGATCGAATGGTGAATATTCTGCTTGCAAGTAAAGGATCATGAACTGCATATTGACTTTTATATGATATGAAGTATTAGTTCAAAACAGACTTTCCCAATCTGTGGTATACGTACCCCTAGAAGTACGCGGTGAACCAATTGGGGGTACTAGAAAGTAATGTTGGTAATGGCGGAAAACACAAAATATAAGGAATTAAACTGAAAAAAGAAAATAATAGAAATTTGTTTCAGAAGTTCTCTGTGTTAAAGCAATAAAATATTTAATACCTTCCACTAACATAGAACTCGTGTAAAGGGTATTTTCGTCTTAAACGTATACGTCTTATGTAGGGGCGTATTAAGCTTGTTGGGGGCCCAAGCCGCTGAAGTACTTGGGGGCCCTCTAAAAGTATGACGCATATGTACTTGAAAATTTCAACTTCTTAGTTATTATGATTTAAAATAAGATAATTTGCCATATTTTTAATCACAAATTATTCCACCTTATCTGGTCGATTCCTTTCCGGTGGATTAATTATCATAATCACAAAATATTTTTGTTAATAAAAATTGCCTTTTTAATTAATCTAATAATTGATTTTAATTACCTAATTAATTAATTTAATTAATATTTGTTGATTATTAATATGCTTTGTATTCAGTAATTTTAAATTTATATCTGAAATTCATGTTCATAAATATTCACATGAAGTATTATCAAAATAACTTCGGATTCATTTTATAAAGGTAAAAGTAATTCGCTTTTTCCTGAATTAAAATTTCTAAAGAAAAAAAATAAGCAAAAAATCTGACATTCACAAATATTACTTCACAAGTTGGAATTATTTTTCAAAAAAAAAAAAATGCAATAATGTATTCATAATATAGTATAAGCCTTATAAAGTAAATGAATTATTTTAAGAAAATATTTTTAAGGAAATTATTTCTATTTTCTGAATTTATTACATGGATTATTTATTTCTACATGTGTTCAAAACACAATACCAATTAATTATTGTAGGAATATAATTAATGATACATAATTATATCAAGCATATTGTCAGGTGAAATATCCTCTGCGAAAGTATTACTGTTATTTGTATGATAAAATTAAATTATATATTAGCGTACAAAATCAATTGTCAGTTTCATTTACATTAAGAGAACTTGTTTATACCTTTAGTTTTAAAATTTGCCTAGATATTTTTTTTAACTTTTTAATTTATATTAAATGTTGCAAAACATAATAACTAAGCAATGCTTCATACATGATTTATAAATTATAATCAAAGGTTCATTCCTAACTAATATTCTAATATTATGGCATATTTTGGGGGAATTTAAATAGAAAAGTTTTAATTTAATACCAGAAACAGAAACTTAAATAACAAAATACCATTGTAAATCAAAAGTTAGATAACTTTTCAACAGATCAGGGAAAATAACTCTTTGATTTTAGCTATGGAATTGAAAAATACAGAAATCCATTTCAACACCATGTTTTTTAAAAATAAAAATGAGAAAAAATATTTTTATAACTGATTTTGAATTTTTTTAAATTTAAAAACTGTGTTGAAATTTTTAAGTGAGGTATGTTTTCATACATAATCTTGAGGTGCATTGTTTATTAGAGTTCTTAATTTTATAGGCATTACTGAATTAGTTCTATTAAATCTACGGAAATAATTCAGTAATCTTCTATCACAATCAATGCCGAGATAAAAAAAAATGGGAATAGAGCACAGATTAAAGTTTTTACTCTTTATTCTAAATAATAAAGAAATTTAATGAACCTAAAGAAATATTTTGTTTAAAAAAATTGAAATTTATACTCTGATCTGAATTTAAATGGAAGTTGCAAGGATATTATGTTGAAATTTATTTAATAAAACTATGAATGTGGTGTTAAGTTGAATAGATAAAATATTTAGAATTTTAGAAAATTTGTTTATAATTTATTTTCTGCATGAATGAAACCTATCAATTCTATTAAAATATTCTGATCATATTATGCAACCCATGCGATAAATAAAATAAACATACCTTTAGTCCTATTCCACAATGGAAGAAGAATTCTTCTTAAAAAAATTATAATGTACACCCACAATCTTTCTCAAGAAATCGACTGTAAATATCCTTAGGTTAATCTCTTTCGTCTTCCAGTTATACGAACTGTCTTTGACGTCTCTTTTCATAATGTGTTAGACTTTTAAAAATGTATACACTCTTCCCACGTTTAAAGTGTATCTTAGAGGCTATTAGGATATTTAAATCTTTTAAAGCAACATTTCTTCTGTTCAAGCAATCACGCTGATTTTGTGAATAAAATGCTATTTCACAAATGATAAAGTATTCTCAAATGCACTTAGTAAGGCGTTTAACAGAATGGTGATGATAACAAGAAACGCTAAAGATATTCAACCCTAAAATAGTTTAATGACTGCAGGGAGGGCAGCAGGCCTACCTACTGAACCAGTGGCGACCATAGATTGGTTCTGGGAGGGGGAGCTGAGGTCATAAAATTTTAATCGTAGTGACGAATGATCAAACCTCATGCTTATTAAAACCATAAACACTTTAACTTACAGGGCTTTTCCTCTGACGATAAGAATAATAGAACACTAAATACTTTTCGAAAATTTGATAAAAATATAATGTAAATAACTGCCAAAAAATGTTTTCGACGACCATACGCTATCAAGTACTGTGGAATGACATTAGAAAAGAACAGGAGAAATTTTCGAGTTGTCAAGTCAAAAGCAATGTTGTCACGATTTTTTATTACTATTCTTTAAATGAAATTAAAACGCTAGTTAGTGATTTTAAATTCAAAAAGTACATTTGGTTCAGTCTCAGTGCAGCCGATCCAGCCCCTCGCCTGGATTCGCATTCTGAACTCAACTATTACTACTAATGACCAATGATATTCAATGAGGAAGAACAGCGCATCAATCAATTGTAATACATTCATACGATAGACTTCTTTGGAAGTTGTTTTCTTTAATGACGTGGGTCTCTCAAGTCTGGAAAGTGAATGACTAATCTGTAGCGCACTATCGCTCACCTGGAAAAGCAATTGGTAACTTGGTATATTGATAGTTGTTGAGTATTGTACACAGATCTCCCGTAATGCTGTAAAAAATAAACGGCGGTTTTGCTGGCATTTTCCTAGAAAACGGAAGAGAACCTAACAACATAGGGCTTTGAGAAAGTGCGGGATGTATGTGCGCAGTACCCAACGACATATAACGAGATCCTTTTCAGGCACTTTGAGTGTGATAATAATCGTAGGAGTGAGTTAAGTCGGATATGTGAACAGTTCTTCAGTGGGAAAATATGTATGTTTAAAAACGTTTCATTGGACCCTAGAGCGCTCACCTGTGCGCCTAACCTTTAATACGCGCCTGGTCTTATGCGTATATTATATACAAGTTGACGAACTCATTCATATTTGTCAGAAAGAAATTAGCAACATATCATTATATCGGAAAATGTTGACTGGTTGAATACTATTTGATAGTACATAGTGACCTTATATAGTGCCGATGGAATAATGTGGCCATCTGATAGCTCGATGTGATGAGTTTTGCCTTCCGATAGCCTTCGGAACTTAAACTGAACTTATTCCAAACAATCAATCAATCAACAATTCTATCGACATCCTGAACGATAGTTATAAAAAATGAAATGAATGGAGAAATTAAATAAAGAAATCATCATGAAACTGAATAATGAACAAACATATAAATTGTATCTGTAACAAGAAAAATAAAATAGCATTTGTCAGTTATTTGATACACAGCTTACAAAGGAATGGTAATGTAACTCATGTTAAAACTTAAAAGATGACCAAAGAAACTTAAATGAAATATTAGAGAAGTACATGCGATGCATCAAAATTATTGTAAACGGTGTATATAACAAACTTTAGAGTTGAGTTTAGAAATACTAGCAACTTTTTAGAGCAAGTATAATGCCGTGCAAAAAAATTTAAAAAATGTCTTGCGTTTTCTATATATAATAATGGCTATTGTGGAGGGCAATAAAGATACGATAAAGTCAGACACTAGATTAAATACTTTCTCTGATAAAGTGAATTCCTTCGAAATGCACTTGATTTAGTTTCCGAATTTGTATCCAATAAAAAGCAGCATGTAAATTTGTGTATGTGTGTCAGCATTATTAGAAGCTCAGACCGCTAATTTAGGTAAGTCTTGCACAATTTTGTGTTTATTTATTTGTTCAATTCTCCGAATAACCTAGAAGCATCCGAAGCGGTATATATTGTAGCGTACGTCCTTACACTACGGAAAGTACAGTGGGGGTCACCTCTCGAAACAGGTCCTAAATATACCTCTGAGTCATCGGCGGCCGTGGCTGAGTGGTCTAAAGCAAGGTGCTATGAAGTACACCTGGAGACTTTGTCTCAACGTGGGTTCGAATCCCGCCGGTCGCCACGTTCCGGTGAACGTTTTGTCATTTTTTTTCTCCCTACTTTCTCAGTTCTCTCTCTCTTTTTTGCTTTTCTTTTTAAAGAACAATAACTTAATGGTAATTTTGGACGATCACCACGTCTGGTGAACGTTTTGTCATTATTTCTCCTCCTGCTTTATCAGTTAGCTGTTTAGTTCTCTGTTGTTTCTTTTTCCAAAGCAACAATGTGAATGATAACTGCAAAATGAAATTGGTAATGAATAAAGAGGTTCAATAAAATTGCAGCAAGAAAAGTAAAGAAATAACCTCTGCAATGACTTGCACTTCTTACAAAAGGAATAATAAAGCTCATGTTTATTAAACGGAGGCTCAGAGAAAACTAAGTTAATGAGATACTATATAAATAATCTAACTTCTAAGAAGATTGCCAATAAAGCAGCTTTAGAAGTCACAGGCTAACGTTCAAACATTTTTTAAACGGATTTAACGATTTTCATACACGCTATGAGATTATTGTGAGATCACACATGTTGCGGGATTATTCTTTGAACAAAGCGAATAAAAGTTTTAAAAAGTCTGCATTTTCTCGATTCGAACTAAAGTAATAGTGTTACTATTTCACTGAAAATTGAAGCAATTAGCTATATAATATGCAACATCATTACAGAAAAGTCTTTTATTTTCTATTCAAGGTCAATTACTTTCCAAAAATAGTAATTGAAATGAAAAGAGAAAAGAAGTACAGAAATCGCTGTTAATTTTCAATATGTAAAATGAAAATTTTAAATTAATCAAAACTTCGAAAAGAAAAGAAATAAAAACTTAAGTTAATTTATTTCTTATACTATTATCAAAAGTAAGACACCTACCGAGGTTAAAATTAACTGAAAAGATTTAAATGAAAAAAACTAATTCATATTTCATATGGGTTATCATACATTCCTATATTGTAGCGTGCGTCCTCACGCTACGGAAAGAACAGTAGGGGGGGGGGGGGCCCTTCCCGAAACGGGTTCGAAATTGAGAAGATTGCAAAGGCCGAGTATATGAAGCGCAAACGAAGTCAATTCATACTCCAGTAATACGTCAAATGGCGTGAAAGATATATGATCACGTCAAATGCGCATGCGCTGCGGCAATTTAATTTTAGAATGCATTGCGCACGCTCTGACGGGACGTCGTAAGACAACGTGCAGTTATAGCTCAGATGGCATGCACAATTACGTTTGTTATGTGACTGCGGCGTTATTTGAATGGACTTCGTTGGTATAAAAAAAATTATCAGAATGTATCTTTATTTTTAGACGTTATCTGATTGAGTAGAGAGAAGAAAACAAAAATTTAATAAAGTCTTTCTTTTGTCGAATCTCTCAAAAACAAACACAATGTCATCATAATCCCATTGGAAATTGAGACAGGTAACCGTAAATCATCGTAAATCTTCTGATTACACAGTAATTCACTGTTTTCTTTGAGATGAGTTGTTAAAGATAATTAAAAAACAGACTGAATATCGATATTAGATAAATAATAAAAACGTCGCAGAATCCAAAACAGTAGTGAGTTTTCTATGTGTTTAAAAAATGAATAATTCTGATTAAAATAAAGTTAAAAGAAAAAGACTAATTAAAATTTCTGGTTACTGAGACGAAAACAAAAGAATGAATGCAACTCAAGTTAAAATTTATAGAAAAGATTCAAAGAAAAATAAAGTTAATCAGAAGTCATAGAATTGTCATACTTCGGAAAAAAATTGCAAATAATGTGTGGAAACAACGTTAGGAATCACAAACTTACGAAAAAAGAATTTAAAAACAGACTTCACATTACACCTATACTGCCCTTCTAAGCTTAGAATACGTATCTCATTTTTTTTTTTAATTTTCTGATTTTTCCTACTTAATAATATTTGTGAGCTGCCCGATATTATTCCTAAGCTAAAAGGCTGTATCTTATTAAGAAAGAGTAGAAACCACTAAAGAAAAAATGTGTATCTCAAAAAACTAGCACAATGTCCATTTACTAAAATGTTCGTAGCCAAAAGTTATAGTTTTTTATATATGCATTTTAGGTTTGGGACGGCAGTTATGTGACTGAGGAGAAAGCAAACAATAATTCCTAGTATTTCTGAAAAAAAAAATCTTAAATTTCCTTTTAAAAAATCCATATTCCTTATATTTCCAAACTCTAACGAAAATCATAGTTTTTCTGTGTCATATTAATTCACTAGAAATTGAAACAGTTAACCGTACAATATGGAGGATCTCTAACCTACATTATATACTGTTGTGTTTTCTTCAGGATCGATTTTTGAACGGCAAACATACAATGAAATGAAAAGGAAATCATCATTAATATATATGCATTTATAAAGTTAATGATTCAGGCTAAAGTTCCAACAAGAAAATAAAGAAATAATAACTACATTTGTGTTATACCTGTCACTATTTACAAACGGAAGAATCTATAGTTCAGAGTATAATTTATTGAAAAGATTCAAAAGCAATAAGTTAATAAATTTTATATAAATTATCATACCTCGGAGATTCCAAGCTATATGTATAAGCAGCTTTAAAAGCCACAGGCGGGCTTTCAAAAATTTAGAAAGAGTTAAAAGTAAAAGCAAGCATTTTTCTTAGATCTTAAGTGATTTTTTTATGGAGAAAGAAGTGAACAGAAGTTGGAAAAAATCCCTATTTTTCCGAAATCTATCGAAAGTAGTATCTATTCCATAGTATCAACGGAAATTGAAACAGGTAGCTTTACGACATGAAAGATCTCGTTTTATACACAATGTTCCTTTTTTATGGTCAATTTCTGAACGATAATTAAGATTGAATGCAAATAAGCAGCAATTGTAAGCAAATAATCATAGTATAATAAGTGAGATAAAATTAATTTGTTCTGCAAGGGAAATTAGGGAATATTTCCGTTTACTTTACATCCGTCTATATTTACAGAGAGAAGAATCCGGCTCAGGTTAAAATTCGATTAAGAGATTCAAAGGATAATAAGTTAAGTAGATTTTACATAAAATTATCATACCTTTGAGAAGATTGCGTCTAAGCAGCTTTAGGGATCACAGATGGGCTCGCAAAAAACAGTTAGTAAGCAAAATATTTTAAAAACAGTTTACAGGTTGAAACAAGTTTTATTCTTAGATGTTATGTGACTGTTGTGTGGAGAAAGAAATGAACAAAAGTTCGAAAAAAATCCCTTATTTTTCCGAAATCTACCGAAAATAATAGCTTTTCCATGACATCATAACCCAGTGGAAATTGAGACAGGTAGCTGTACAACATGGAAGATCTCTTATCTACACAGTACTCCGTTGTTCCCATCAGTCGAAGAATCAGCAGATACCTATCGGTAAGTCGATATCCTATACCAAGGCAGGAAATTAAGCCTTCGACGGCGAAATCGCTTGCTGCAGCTTATTACAGATGCTTGTTCGGATGTTATCGACCACTTTGCAGAGAGGCATCTGGAAAGAATCCGTGACACATCCGAGACAAGTGTATAGAAGATAGGGAAATAGTTAGATGAGATAAGACAAATTTAGTCACGTCAAATCTGGAAAGTCGCCTTCCCCCCCGACTTCAGTGGCAGCTATTAATGCTGAAACACGTGACATCGACCATTATCCATTTCATCATCGCTTTGTTTATGATAATTGAGACGGACGAGTTGAATTCAAGTCTTTTCTCCCGAAAACATTTTATGGAGGTCGTTTTGTCTATTGACCATGTACTTGCTGTAGCGACGAAGTTTCTTTTGACTTCAAAGGTGCGCACACATTTCATTATTAATGATGTGTTTAAAACGGAATATAGCCAACGGACAACAGTAGATGTGACTAAAGTGAATCAAGCCCTGAAGATAAGATTAGAATTTCCTAGAGGAAGATTTCATTCCGATATTTTCTTTTTTTTTTCTTCCTATTTCTTAATATTTGCTATGATCTAAAAATTAAAACAAAATTTAAAAACATGCTTTTATTGGTGCACTAAAAAGCGGACTTTTTTATTTTAAAAACTTTCCACTTTTTAGTCTATATTTTATGATTCTTTTTATAAATATAATGAAATCTTGAAATCCTTTTTTCTTAAATTCACTACCAGGTGGTGCCACATGTATGGAATAAAAATTTAATTAAATCAATCGATTGATTGGTAATTATGTTCTGAAAATATTATAATATTGTATTTTGATCCAGAACACAAGAGTACAAAAATTTAAATCTTTAGCGCAATAAGAAAGGAGTGAAAAATCGATTACAAAAGCGCATCATTACGAAAATGAAACAAGCTAATTTAAATAAAATTTATAAAAATATCCACTCAATCTTTGCTTTATGCTTGTGAACTAGAGATTACTTTTCAAGTATCATTTGTAGCCTTCTCCCTTTTATGTTAAGAATTGTTTTGAAAAATGGAATGTTACCAATAAAATGTACTAAGAAAGAAAACTTTAAAAAAATCAAAACAAACTCATCAAAACTAATTAAAACAAAATAAGAAAAATATATTAATTTGATGATTTATTTTTTATTTGCTTTATTTATAACTGAATGCAAAGCTCAGATCTATTCGAAGCTTCCTAAACGCCCCAGAATTCTTATATTTGAAGTTCTTATACTGAATTGATTTGAAATTCTTATATCTTGAACTCACAAGGCAAGGAAAAAAACCAAAATCTACACTCCAGATAATTATTTAGCATTGATCTAAATTTTAATAATACTTAAAATCAAGTAATTGTTTATTTTATATTAGTTAATGAATTATTTACCAGTTTTCATTTAGAAACTACATAAGTGAATTTTAAAAGTAATTAAAATAATCAGCGGCTTGCTTCGCATGATTCTAGTTTTTAAATAAAGGTGTAAAAGATACTAAAGTTTATGGGTTATCAACGCGTTGAAACATCATGATTTTTTATTAGGTCATGTTTCCTTTTATTAAATTTTAAAAAAAAAAACCCATAGACACATTTTCTGCAAGGTACTTATATGAGGATCAT